GTGTAAATATTGTCCCTGGAAGCCCACCTTCCTGCACACCCACCTTCCAGAAGGGGGTGTTTGCCGTCCTTTCTGGCCGGGGTGCGTCCGGGCACTGTGTGTGCCCACGTGCCCGCTGTCCACCCCTTCGGGGATGTCCCAGCAGGCAGCTCCTGGAGCGGTGATTCGGTGGTCACCTCTCTGAGGAGCCGCCATACTGCTCCCCAGAAAACGCTTTGTTTGTAAAACGTAAGCCTCCTTTCTCACACCCCTCGGCCAGCCTCCCTGCCATCTCCGCCAAACCTCCTGGTGTGCTGGTCCACACCATGGCCGCCTCAGCCAGCTGCCCTCTGCCCTCTGCCTCCTGCAACCACTGAGCAGGCACCCAGGCCTCAGACCGGACTCCTGGCGTCCCTGGCCTCTGCACCTGGGCCCTTCCCTCCTCTCCACTCGCCCCCTGGGCCCCTGCGCCCAGCTCCCCCCACCCCTGCTCTCCGTGCTCCACACCGCTCGCTCAGCTGGGCCTTTCCACCCTCTGCCCTGGGCACTCCACATGCTCTGCTGCCCCCCCAGGAGGCACTGTGGCCACGTGTGGCACCTCTCCCCCTGTCCTTTCCAGCTGCCCTGCCTGCCATTCCCCCAACTCTGCGCTCCCCACCAGCCCGCCCTTCCGCGTGCACTTGGCGTCAGTGACCAGCAGGGACCAGGGCCTCTGGCTGCGGACACGGTGCCGGACACACACAGGCCTCTCAATCACCTGAGCCCTGCTGCTTCCATTTGTTCCATTTAAAGTTGTTGCTAATTAATCTATCTACCGGGGTAATCCCCTGCCTCCCCTCCACCCCGTCCTCACTCTGCCCGTCTCCCGTGGCGAGGGGTCTGCAAAGGCTCCGCCCGCCCCAGGCACGGACGCGCACAGACAGCCCTGGACTGACACCCAGCAGCGGCGGCCCTTGGGGAAAGGGGTGCACGTTCTGAAACTCAAGTTACTGCCAAGTGCCCCTCAGGAGCTGGTGGCAGCACACTCCCTCCCTGTTCCGCCCACGTCCAGCAGCTGAATGGGAAGCCGGTGCTGAGGGGGCTGCAGGTGGGCAGGGGGGCGGGGGGTGGGCTTGGGAAGAGGAGGGAGGAGGGGCAGAGGGCACGTCTGTCTCAGCTCCTCAGGGTCACGGCCACCCCTCCCAGCTGTGTAAACCTGCTGAGCATTAGCATATCAAACACCCACCAAAGCCTCCTTAAAACGCGCCCCAGCTGCTGGCCACCAACAACAGCGGAGCCGGAGCCGCTCCTAAAGGCACAAGCACAACCCCAGGGGCCCCCCTCCCAGGTGCACAGCCAGGAAAGTGACAGCACATGTCCTCACACAGGTGTGTCACACGTTCATAGCAGCCCAAGGGGAAACGACCCAAACGCCAGTCCATCCATCCCCCAGGCGCCCTCAGGGACACTGCCACGGCCGTCCCAGTGTTCCTTCCCCACGAGTGACAACAGAGGGCCGGTCTCGGGCGTTCGGCCAGGAAGGATGCCGTGCGTTCCCAGGCCTCGCTGCCACCACGGCCACACTCGGACCATGTGCTCCCGGACCCTGGGGTTGGCCCCTGGGGACTGAGGGGGGTGATAACACACACACACACACACACACACACACACTCACACACGCCGCCCTCGTCCCTGACAGCAGGCTGGGACTCCGTGCGCTATCTCTTAGATTAGCTGGCTATTTTTGCGCTGCCCTTGCTGGAGCAAAGGCGGTGTGGGCGGCAGGGCCCCAGGGAGCCATCATCAGCCCAGGCGAAAACAGAACCAACTTCACGCCCTTCTTCCTCAGAAGCATCTCCGAAGGAACCACCTGCCAGAGTGCCGTCCGCAGGGCCGGGCTCCCCACACTCACCCACACAGAGCGCTGGCCTGGACCTGCTCCGTCTCACCTTGGGGAGGCGGGAGGAGGCATCAGGAAGAGAGGCTAGTGCCCTGGCTCCGTGGCTGAGCGTGGACCCATGAACTAGGCAGTCACCCGGGTTGTGGGTTCGATCCCGGGTAGGGGGCATGTAGAAGGCAGCTGGCCAATGATTTTCTCTCATTGATGTTTCTATCTCTATCTTCCTCTCTCTCTAAAATCAATAAAAGCATTTAAAGAAAAAGAGAGAGGAAGAGGAGGAGGCTGTGGATTGGAGGTTCCCATGGCCCACTGCTTGGGTCCAGTTAATTCGTGAGAGGGCTTCACAGGAGTCAGAGCGCGCTAAGTCACTGGTTTAAGTGAGAGGATGAGCCGGATGAAGACGCCCGGGGCCGGGTACGGGAAGGGGGTGGCGCTCCCGTGCCCCCCCTTCTCCCCCAGCACACCTGACTCTCCCGCACCTGCAGGTGTCACCAGCTCTCCGCACCTGCCTTTGGCGCTGGAGGCCTCTGCACAAAGGAACGGTGCCTGACCCCATCTTCATCCCCTCCCTGCCCCGAGGCCGGAGGTGGGCCTGGCAGCTCCAGCCCTCCATCACAAGGTTGGCCTCTCTGCGGCCAGACCGCCTCAGTGGCTGCAAAGCCCCATTAACACAGCACAGGCATGGTGGTCCCTGTCCTCACAGGACATACACAGTGTCAGGGGCTTTGGGCAGGTGCAGGACGAAGGCCAAATGTGTATTTCTTCTTATAAATCACAGTATCATAGATGTTTCCACTGCAGGCCTTTGTCTAGCTGGTCCCTGTGTGACACCCCTTTTCCTTTAATGTGCGGGCGTGTGTGGGCATGTGTGTGTGTGTGTGTCCCGTCCACCCCCCCCCACCCACCCCCCGCTCAAGTCTTTGCTCAAATCTTACCTTTTCAATGAGGCCGACTCTAACCACCCTACAAACGGCCATGCCTGCATTCCAGATCTCCACTAGCCTGCTGCACTTCCCCCCAAACGCTTACCTTCCCACACACTAACTGTATCCCCTGCCAGCCTTTAAGTCCCCCACACTGTCAGCTCCAGGCCCAGGGAGTCTGTCTGTGCGCTGTGTATCCTCACACAGTGCCTGGCACAAAGTTGGTGCTGAGTAAATATTTGAATGAAAGCCCTCTTCGGCTCTATACTTTTAATTCCTTGATTGTGAGCTAATTGAAATGCAGAATACAAGCGTGCCTTACTGTTTAACAGTGAAAATAGTCATTTATGAAATGTCCTCCAAAAACAAGATATATAAGTAAGCTTTGAACATTTGCTTTTAAAAAACAGACACTTGATTTATTTATTTATTTAAAGTCCATAAGAGCATTTCATAGGGACTGATGGGGTTAGTCCTACATTCTCCGAGACCACAGAGCGAATGTGAACAGTGCCCCCTCATGGCTGGAAGTGGAGCGGCTACTTCCTGATGGGCAGGGTGACTTACAACCCCAGTGGCTGACAGGAAGGAGTTGTAAGATAAATGTTATTGATGACAGTTCAAAATAGATCAAATTCAACACTATTTTCAGAAGGCAAGTAAAAGAGGAATAAAGTGTCAAAGGAAGAATCTGTAGGAGTACGGAGCCCACACATTTCCATATTGTGAGGAGGATGTTGACAATTTGTGGGGAGCAGTGAAGGAAAATGTTAGGACAAGAAAATCCTGACTTGATAGCATCCATCTGCTGCTCTTACAGCTGGAATCTGAGCGGGACTCTCCCATCTGTGCTTTACTCTCAGCTTCAGCTTAACATAATAAGACACATGTGTTTAAGGATGTCAGCGATGAAGTCTAAATGCCTGCCGCACTCTGACTCAACAGCCTGCAGCGCAGCCAAGCTCTGCTCGGTCCCGTGACCACCTGGCACTTCAGAGCCGAGGCCCTAACTGTGGCCCCGCTGCCCGACCACATCTAAACGGAAGCCCAGCTGCTCGGCCCGCCCCCCCCCCGCAGGCCCCGGTGGCTCCCCCGGGCCCCTCGGCCCAGAGCTCCGCACCCCAGACTCCCGTTGCTGTCTCCTTTCCTTCTCCTCTGATTCTCAAACGGCCTCTGCGAGCATCTATTGGGCCGATGGTTCCTCGTTACAAGTGGGGAAACTGAGGCTTAGTGGCATCAGGTCACTTGCCATGGCCACGTGGTCCATTATTAAGAGCCAAGCTTCAAAGTCTGTGCTCCTCCCACTTGCCCCCCTGCCTCCAGGTTCCCCTCCCGGGGCCCCCGGGCTATAAATAGTGGGAGGCTGGGACGCGTGTGCGAGGTTAGCCAGGCCCACCGCAGACACTGCAGACACTGACGTCTCTGCCTGGCCTGGCCACGGCCCATCCCCTTGGCTCCCCAGGACTCGGGCCCAGACAGCCTCACTATCACCGCTTCACGCCCCTGGTTATATTTAGCTCCAGACCTCAAAGAGAAAGGTGGGCAGCCCTGCCACACGGCCCTCTGGCCCGGCGGGCTGCTGGCTAGAAAGAGGCTGCCTCCTCTCCCTGCGAGTCACTGTATTTGTGACAGTCAGCCTGTCCACAACAGGCGTGCGCCTGGGGCTCCAGGCTGCTTTGTTGTAAGAACAAATAAACGACCGAAGTCCATGTCCTAGAAACCTGGGCACCAAAAACAGAGGCACGCAAGTTCCTGGGGGAGGTCTTGTAAAGCCAATGCATTCACTCTATCCAGTACAGTCAAGTTTATTCAGGAATGGACCCAAGTTGTCATCCTCCCACCCCCGTTTCTCCTCGCCCCCTGATCAGGCTTGAAGGCCACAGCAGGAGAGAGGGAGGGAGAGAGAGGAACCTCACATCCCAGAGGGTGGCTCCGAGTGCCCCACGTAGCAGCCTCCCAGTGTGGTGGCTCTGGGATCCCCGTGCCTGTAGGATCCCTGTGCCTGTAGGATCCCTGTGCCTGTAGGCACCTGGCACAGCCTCCCTTGCTCTGTTGTCCTTCAGAGGCAGCCGCCTGCAAAATCCGGAGCGGAGCGTCTCCATCCGCCTGCTCAGCGCCTGGACCCCGGGGCTGGGTCGGCTGGCAGCGGGGCCAGAGCTCAGGAGCCCGGCTGGGTCCTGACCCGGAGCTTGAAGGGCAGCCGCTGGCAGTTCTGGCTCTCACAGAAACGGGAAGAGCCGCTTTTTGACAATGTAGAGAACCGTAGCCAGGAAAAGGGCCAGGGCCAGGAAGATGAGCAGCTTGTCCGTCAGCTCCCGGCGGTTGTACTTTGTGATGAGCTTCCGCCCCAGCTGGATGGTCCCCGACATGGACTTGAACTCTTCGTTGGCGTCCAGGATGGTCCGGGAAGAGGTGACTGAAACATAAGAGGGAGGGAGCCTGACTCGGAGGCCGCAGGCGGGCTCCCAGCACACACTGCTCTCTGCAGCAGGTTCCAGGGCAGGGACCGAGCAGATAGCCGGAGCGGAGGACGGGACAAAACTCCCCTGGGCCGCACCAGCTCAGAGAGCCGTCGTTTCCTACCTACAACGCCACAGGCCCCAGCGGGGAGCCCAGTGGACACCCCAGGGAGAAGGGCAGAGAGCTTCCTGCAGCCGCCGGCCACAAAACCAAACCCGAGACCGGGGACGGGCCCCCGGAGGTCCGTATGGGACAGAGCTGGAGGGCCCAGGCCTTCACCTGGGGGGGCGCCCAGCCAGGACACCTGGCGGCCAGGCCGCTCTGTGGGGTCAGAGAGAGGGGCTCGGCCCTGCAGCAGCCCTCACACAAGCAAGTCCTCGGGCCCGGGGACACGGCTGAGGCTGTACAGATGGGGCACCTGTGCTTGGACACTGAGTGACACCTACGAGGAGGCCCTGTCCCCTCAGGGTGGCTGTGCCCAGGAGTCCACTTGACCGCCGGGCCTGCCACTTGGGGAAGAAGGTCGCCAGGCAAGATCCCCCCACAAAGGAAAACAAAGCATCACTGGAGCAGCCACGGAATGCCACGTGCTATCATGTGGACAGCGAGGCGTGAAAGAGGCGTGTGAGTTGGAAGAAAGAGGTGGGTGGATAACACTTCATAAGCGACGCCATCCGTGTGGAGACGGCAGGATGACAGAAGAAACGGAACCGTGGGCATGGCAGGCAGTGTGGGCGGGAGGCAGGCGGGAGGGGCCTGGGGCAGGGGCCGTGTCCCAGGAGCAGCTTCCCGCCAGCCCGGCATTACCCAGCGTCTGCATGGCTTCCTCGCTCTGCTGCACCTGCTGGGACATCACCCTGCTGATCCCCATGAGGTTCTCGGTGATGGTGCTGGACGTCTGTGCCAGGTTCTCCTTGGCGGTTTTCCTAGGAGTCCAGAGGAGGAGGAGGGTCAGCAAAGGCCTGGCTGCGGGGAAGCCCGCAGGCAAAGGAGACCCATGCTTCACCCTCTCCGCGCATGCCTGCTGTCACATGTTCCGGTCAGTGCCCGGGAGCGTGCCGAGCCTCCTAAAGCGGCCAGCAGGGCGTCCGGCGCCCCCTCTGCAGCAGACACAGTACCTTTGCCTCAAGAGGTCTCCTCCCTGCAGCAGCTCTGCCTTCTCTAGGTTGTCAATGGCGATTTTGCAGGTGAGATTCGCTTTCCTCCACGACGTCTGATTGCTGGAACCAGAAGGGGCACGTGTGAGTTTCTGACAGTCCCAGTCAGAGCGGGTCTTCCCTCCGGCAGGGGCAGGCAGGGGGGGGGGGCGGGGGGGCGTTTTGCAGGGGTGGCCCACGGAGTCCATCCCCACCTCCTGCCCTTCCTCCTCCTGTGGCCCCAGCAACTGCAGCAGCCCAGGCTCGGCACCTCTCGCCTGAACCCCGGCTGCCTCCGGGATAGTCTCTTACTGCCCGCGCTGCCCCTGTGCCCGGCAGCCCGAGGGAGCAGACTGGTCCTGGCACAGCCATCCATGCAGCCCGTATGGCTCCAGACTTCAAGGTAACCTCTGACCCCCAGCTGGGCATCCGAGGCCCGGCTCTGCCCAGCTCTCCCACACTTCACTGTGCTGCCTGCATGCGCTGGCTCTGCCCTGAGACCGTGCCTCACCATGTGTGCGTTACCAGCACCAAACTGACAGTTCTGGCCCAGCAGCTGTTCAGCCAGTGTATGTTGTAAGAAGCAGAAAAAGCATCAAAAGGCAGTTTTCCTCAACATTTCTCCAAGGTCTGCTGTTCTTTACACACCATAGACAGATGGCGGAGGAACACACACAGGAGCCGCAGGCTGGGGGGACATGACTATTCACATGCACCCGCTCTCTGGGGGGGACAGCGATGTGCTGAGCGGCGGCCAGAGCCAGCACTCAGCCTTTGTGACCGGAAAAAGGCGAACTGGGGCCCCAGGACCAAGCGCATGCGCTCACGCCCACTGTGCCCCCTGAAACCTTCACGTCACACAGAGTGTGAACTGACAGGCGGTCCTGTACTGGCACCGAGGCTGAGCTTTCAGAAGAGTCCCCGGCCTGACCAGCGGCTGCTATGCCATTTCACGCCTAACAGCTATTTTACACAATCCGACACCCTTTCAAACCGCTATTAGCAGGCAGTCTGCGGGACTGAGGCAAGATGAACGAGCAGTGCCCGCCGAGGGGCTCACGTTTATGAAGGAAGACAAGCCCTCAGTTACTGGTCCAGGACAAGCACGGGCACCCAGCAGGCCCAGCGACTGCTCCCGCACACCATCGCCACAGCCTTCATCTCTGCTCGCTCCTCTGCCCTCGACTCCAAGCATGAACGGCCGTTCCCAACTTCCAACCCACACTCCGGGACTGTCTGGCATAACTTGCTACACATCACGACGATCCTCTCTAGACAGGGTTTGTAGTCTAGTGCTCGTGGTGGCCCTGGGAAGCAAAGGGCATCCTGATACGAAGTATCACCGAGCCAACCACTTTAGCTCTGGTCACCGCTCACACCTCCCTCCGGCACACCCAGTGCCCGCACCCCCACGGCCTGCACACCCACAGCCGGCTCAGCCGCCTCCTGATCTGAGTGTCACCAACAGCTGCTGTCGGCGGGGAAGATGCTGGAAGGCTCTCAAACAAGAAGCAAAGCCGCAGACAAACACGATGTGGCAGAGTTTGACTACCTACAAAGGATGAAGGGAACGCCTGGGGTGTGTGTGCGTGTGCGTGTGTGTGTGTGTGTGTGTGTGTGTGTGTGTGTGCAGCAGGGGCTTTCAAAGAGAAAGAACTGGCTCCTGCAGGGCTGGGATAGGTGATGGAGCCCTCACGAAAGCTTTTATTTTATTTTTTAACATTTTATTTCAGAAAGGGGGAGGGAGGCAGAAACATCAATGATGAGAAAGAATCATTGACCAGTTGCCTCCTGCACTCCCCACACTGGGGATCGCAACCCAGGCATGTGCCCTTGACCAGAATCGAGCCCAGGACCCTTTAGTCCACAGGCCAACATTCTATCCACTGAGCCAAACCGGCGAGGGCGCCTCAAATACTTTCACAATAAAATCCCTCTTATTATTATGGTACAAAAGTCAAAAGTGAAGGGAGAGGTACTGTTTCAGACAATTTTGTTGGAAAAGTCCCCCAATTCAATACCAAGAATGAGTGCACACCTTCAATTACAGAAGCCAGTATTAGCACACAGTCACAATATAACACTAGGGGCTGGTGCACAAATGTGTGCCCTGGTGGGGTCCAGTTGGCGCCCCCCTCCCTATAGAAGATGACAGGGGGCAGAGCCAGCCAGGGCAAGGGGCCAAGGTTGTTCCAGTCATTCTGGTTATTCTGCCATTCGGTCACTGGGCTTTTCTTATGTAAGATGAGCTTATTTACAAGTTCTTGTTTCCCTTTCAAAATTTTCTAAATTTTGGTCCATCTTAAATAGGTTCACTTACAGTGGACCAATTCTCCTTAGATAAAAAGGACCTAGATTACAATAGCAAATGTAATTTTTTTTTTGGGGGGGGGGGTTTGTTTTAAAAATATAAATACAGTGTAACAAAGCAAATACGCACCAATATGCTTTTGTAAACTGTGCCCATCCCGCCTGCCCAGCAGCCCCTGCGCGCCCTCCCCTGTGAGAATTACTCGCCCTGAGAGGACATGCAGTCCGTGTACAAATGACACAGTTAAGTCACCAACCTCAGGTGTCCGAGGCAAACCCAGGGAGGCTCCCGGGAGCACGAGACGGGCAGAGGCCGCTGCGGGAGGCCAGGCTGCCTACCTGAGCATCTGCTTCTTGTGGTTCTCCACCTCCTGGAGCAGAGCTTGCTTGTCCGACTCTCTGTCTTGTTCTTTAGCTGACTGCTCCAGCTCCTGCGGGGGAAGCAGCTCTGTGTGAACCCCACTGCCAAGCCAACTGGAAAACCAGAGCGCACTTCCGGTCTAGCCAGGCCGCCCACGGCACTGGGACCCTCCTCCTGCAGGGCACTTCGGAAGGCCAGACATCCTTAGACACAGAGCCGAGTCTACAAGGAAATAAGGACAGCCCTAGCTGGTCTGGCTCAGTGGATAGAGCATCAGCCTGCGGATGGAAGGGTCCCAGGTTCAATTCCAGTCAAGGGCACGTGCCCATTGTGGGCTGGATCCCCACAGGGGGCCTGCAGGAGGCAGCTGATCAATGATCCTCTCTCACCATTGATGTTTCTTCCTATCTCTCTCTCCTCTCCCTGCTTGTCTGAATTAAAATGTGTTTTGTTTTGTTTTAAAGAGAGAAAATAAGGACAATCCAAGACCCCAGAGTGAGGAGGAGACCGAACCAGCACAGACAGCCCGTGAGCGGTGCAGGCTGCAGAGAGGACGATGTACGTCTGCCATGCAGCCCAGAAACACTAACCAGGAGCCTGACCCCACTTAGCCTCATGGGAACACCAAAACACGCCGTTCTCAAAACTGCCCTTGAAGTTCCCGTGGAAGACAGCACACAGGGCAGACCGCTGTTTCCCCAGCTCCGGAGCAGACTGTCCCATTGGGTTCGGTTGTTGGCTGGCATTGGGGCCTCGCAATATGAAAACCATACGGCTTTACACCCCAGCACCACCTGCAGGCAGCGCAGGTGCCCACCCCCTTCTGGGAGGTGGGCGGCTCTCTGCCACCCGCACTGAAGGCACAGCGGGGAAACACCTCCGTCATCCAAACCGGCCCTTCCCGCTGTGTGTTTCTGAGACGGCACACACACCGGAGCCGAATCCAGGAGCGCAATGGGCATATGCTGTGACTGCGATGACAAAGCGGGGGAGGAGGCTGGGCAAAGCGCAGTCTCAGAAATCTCCCCAGGAGACACCGGAGCCGGACTGGGGAACGGGTTGGAGAGTGGGAGAGGAAAGAAAGTAGTTCAAAGGACCACAGAGTTTTTAAGCTGAAAAATTCCAAGGACAACGCGTCCCTGCCACCGTCTCTCACAGCTGGCGGGCGCTGCGTGCCCAAGTTCACAGCTGTGGCCCGGAAAACAGGTTAGTCCAGCTCCCTCACTGCACAGCTCTCAGGCAGAGGCCAGTCCCAGGACTGAGCCCCCCAATCGTGCCCGCTTCCCCCAGCCCTCAGGTCTGCGCGCTCACCTGTATCCTGTGCCGGAGCTGCTGAAACTTCTCCTTCACTTTAGCATTCAGCTCAGTAAGTGCACTCAGTGGTCCCGAGCAATCCCGGATATCCTAGGAGACAGGGAAGAGATGAGGGGCCGTCTCAGGGCAGCGGAAGAATCTGACACCATCAGTACGGGGAGCGCTGGCTCACGGCACCGACCGGCAACGGTCTCTGCTGTCTACCTCTGCAACACAGGCGAACACATCATCCTTCGCACTTTTCTCATCCCTCTTTGAGCTGATTGTGAACAGGTAACATAAAAGCATAGAGAGAGACACAACTCTGTCTTGACTTATTAGTTCCTAAAGTTTAACAAAACGCCACGTGGCAAGTATGAAAGCCTTAGAGTAGTTTGTGTATTCAACAAAGATGTAAATCCAAAGCAGATGCTACTAACTTTATTTTTGTGTGTGTGTGTGTGTGTGTGTGTGTGTGTGTGTTTAAATTTCTCTATTGATTAAGGTATCACATATTTGTCCTCATCTCCCCATTCCCATCCCAAAACTCTCCCCACGCATGCCCCCACCCCATTGCCTTTGACCACTGGTTAGGCTCATATGGATGCAGATACTACAAACTTCAGATCTTTGGAAACAGGCGCTGGATTCCTGACATCAGATGAGCTTCAATCTGATTCTACAAAACCTCTATCAGAGAGCGCAGTGTTTATAGACAGACTCAAGGACAGGTTTAGAATTCGTCAGGATTAGTGGAGCCAGGTTTTAGAGTGGGCCCTAGGGCCAGACCACTCGGATTCAGATTCTGGCCGTGCAACCTCGGAAAAAAACAATCAGTTGAGTTCTGAGCCTCAGGTCTGTCCCTCATCATATTACCTGCTGCATAGACCATGTATGTACAGAAGGCATTTAGCAGAGGAACTGAAGCACAGTAAGAACCTAGCTCTATGATCACTCTTCCCATTAGATTTCAGAACTGGCCCGACAGTTTGTAGTTTACACTCGGAAGAAGGGAAGTGTAAATGTTTGCATTAAAATGTCCTCACTTGCTCTCTGGCTTAATCATTAAATCACACTTCCTGGCAACTCATTAGGTTTATTTTACATCTGGTTTGGGTGGGGGGGGAGAGGGGATAGGGAGGGCTACTTTTCTTGACTTTTTGTCCCAGCTCTGAATCTACATCTCATGTTTAGGAACGCTTATTGGAAATGGAAACGATTTGCCCAAAACCCAGGTTTAAAATTCTTGGTTTCTGCCCTGACCAGTTTGGATCAGTGGATGGAGTGTCGGCCTGAGGACTGAAGGGACCCAGGTTCGATTCCAGTCAAGGGCATGTACCTTGGTTGCGGGCACATCCCCAGTAGGAGGTGTGCAGGAGGCAGCTGATGGATGTTTCTCTCTCATAGATGTTTCTAATTCTCTCTCTCTCTCTCCCCCTTCCTCTCTGTAAAAAAACACACACACAAAAAAAAACAACACAAAAAAAACCTCTGGTTTCTTTTCTGCTGAACTTGAGGAACTGTTTTCACATTCCTACCTCTTGCCTATGCCAACTGGTTTATTGCACTATTTACCTTCCACCTTCAATGGCTTCTATACTATTTATGGGACCTCGGTGCCCCAAATCCCTCCTCTAGGCTGACTCCGCCGGTGGCCCGGGTCCCAGCTCTGCCACCACCTGCCCTCAGACTCAGGCCGGAAATCACATCCCCGGTCCAGGTGACATTCATTTCCCGGCGCCCCGGACCCCAGACCCAGGGGAGCTGGCCAGCAGGGGGCGAGGTTGCCGCCTCCGGAGCGCCACCCACCGGCGGGGCAGGAGGCGGGGCTCCAGGGTGACAGGTACCCGGTGAGCGGGTTCCCAGAAGTCCCGACTTTTAACAATTTCGTCCCGCGGCGTTTTAAAACAGTCCCGACTTTTTTTTTTTTTTTAAATCGGGGCTTTTTAAAAAACGCCTCTGGACGCGGGACAAATTGTTAAAAATCGAATCTTTCCAAAAATCGGTGTTTTTTTTTTTTTTTTAAACGCCTTTGGACGCGGGACAAATTGTTCGAAATCGGGACGGTCCCGCCAAAAGCGGGACGCCCGTCACCTTAAAGGGGAAGCCTGGGCAGGGGCGAGGGACATGGGGGCCCGGAGAAGCCAAGCAACGTCACGGATGGATGGAGGCTCAAGACCAAGGGTCAAGGGTCAGGGGCCCAAGGGGGCAGAGAGGAGGGAGCCGGCCACCGAGCGGGCGGCGGCCGGGGAGGGAGGCCGGGCCGGGCCGGGGAAGCGCGGGAGGGAGCCCGCGGCGGGCGCCGAGGCGGCCGGCGGAGCCCGGGCCCAGGGCAGCTGGAGCCCGGCAGGCGCCCCGGGAACCGGTACCTGGATCAGCGCCTTCACCTCCAGGTCGAATTTGACAATCTCTTGGTTACAGATCCGGACGTGGACATCTTGGGCGGCCGCCATGTTGGAGACGCCGGCTACGGGCCGCGGCGGGGGCCAAGTTCAAACGCGTTTCCGTGCCGCCCGCCCGGCCTTCGCCACAGCGCCCCCTGGAGGCCGGCCCGAGGCCAGCGAGGGTGGCGGCGCTGAGACCAGGACGCTCCTCACTCGCCTTTCCCTGTGGCCCTAAGGAAAAACAAACAGAGAGGAAAGAAGAGGGAGCATCAAGAGCACGTTCACGGTGGCCTCTCCCCATCGCCCGCAGACCAGCCATTCTGAGGATTACAGATCTCTCTCTCTCTCTCTCTCTCTCTCTCATAGAGAGGGAGTAAGAGAAAGACTGAAACAGTATCCATTGGGATGTCCCTGGAAGGTGGCATTGACAGTGTTTTCTATTTTTTTTTTTCTTTCTTTTTTACAGAGAGGAAGGGAGAGAGATAGAGAGCTAGAAACATCGATGAGAGAGAAACATGCCCAGTAGGGGGTGTGCCTCTTGCACACCCCCTACTGGGCATGTGCCTGCAACCAAGGTACATGCCCTTGCCCGGAATCAAACCTGGGACCTTTCAGTCTGCAGATCGATGCTCTATCCACTGAGCCAAACCGGTTTAGGCTGTTTTCTATTTCTTTAAGCTTTCTCATATGTTGCATATTTGACAGTGAACCCACATCCCACCTCTGTGCCCCAGTCCCCTCAGAGGCCACCTGGTGGGATAAGAGGGGAGAAGCCCCCAGCACAGCCCCCAGCACAGCGTGGGAGAGTGGCCTCTGCCGGAGCACAGGGCGCTGGCTGCTGTGACAGAGTACACCGACGTTTGGAGCACTTCCTGGGGGGCAGGCTCTTTGTACCCTGTGCCGTCTGTGTACCATCTAACAACGCTCACGACAGCCCCGGGAGCTGGTGAATGATCCCGTTTTACACGTGAGGAAACAGGCACAGGCAAGGACGACTTGCCCAGCGCAGGCCAAGGACGTGGGCATGTAAAAATCCTGACCGTGGCCAACAAACCACTCTCCACAGAGGCCCTATCTGTGGGGCTTGGCACTCCCACAGCATGCCTGCTCCCCCCGCCTGGGCAGCACGGTGTGTTCAACACTGGGATGCGTGCCGATCTGATTGAGAGGAAAACGCCGTTTTTAAAACTTTGCATTTTTCTCATCATAAATGCATGGCACTTATTTGTATTTGTATTCATTGTCTGCTCATTTCAATGTATGGCAGCTTATTGGTATGAGGTCTGGAGCCTTGACTTTTTCCAGAGGGGTTACCCAACACCGTTTTCTGAATAATCCATCTTTTCTCACTGGTTCGGGATGCCACATTTACACACTAACTTCTTAAGTTTGAATGTGTTTCTAGTCTGTTGGCCTACCAAGTCATTCATGCAGCAAAATGACACTTTTAATAATTATAGTTTTGTGTGTCTTACTATCTGTTGGGGATTGGACACCAGTTGCTTTGCCCCGAGTAGCTCCCACCTATAGTTTTTCCCATGTGAACTTGGGCTACAGTTTTTGTTTTGTTTTTAACCCCATTGTTATGTCCTTACTGGGTCGGCACTCAATTTTTTATTTAATGCAGGAAGACAAGACAGCTTTGTGTTACTGACTGATCCCTATTCAAGAACTTGGTCTATCTTTGCATTTGTTCAAGTTTCCTGTGTCTTTCATAGTATTTTCAAGATTTCTTTGGACCTTGTACATTTTCTGTTAATTCCTGGCTGTTATCTTAAGATGAAAACTTTTTAAAGAGATGGAGGTTGACATTTTTTCAGGTCAAACGTTCCGGATCCTAAAACAGAAGAAGCCCGAAGTTGGCAAGCAGATCAGCCCGCGTGACCTTGGGCCCCTCACATCCTGCTTCTTGCTGGGAATTCCTATGCAATCGACAGTCTCCAATTGCCTCTTTCTGCAAGAAAGGAAAGCACAGCTCCCTCTCCTCCGCCCTTCCACACAGCCCCTTCTGGCAAAGGGATCCAGGTCTAAGAAGCCTTCTTGGAGGCACAGGTCTGCGATCTGGGACCCTCAGTCCCAATGAAACTGCCAGCGCTGTTTTGTTTCCTCCGTCTTTCCCCACCGATCCCGAGGCTAGCCTTTGGTTTCTCCAACTGCTACACTTGGGCCTTGGTTCTGCCTGGTTTCCAGATTCTAAGCCCTTTATTTCCCAACAGTGCCTGGTCCCTCAGAGATGAACATGAACCGTCTCACATCGGCTGGGTCTGGGTGGGTCCCCTCCTCTAAGACTAGTCCAGTGGTCGGCAAACTCATTAGCCGACAGAGCCAAATATCAACAGGACGACGATTGAAATTTCTTTGGAGAGCCACATTTTTTAAATTTAAACTTCTTCTAACACCACTTCTTCAACATAGACTCGCCCAGGCCGTGGTATTTTATGGAAGAGCCACACTCAAGGGGCCAAAGAACCACATGTGGCTCGCGAGCCGTGGTTTGCCGACCACGGGTCTAGTCTGATGAGTCCCCACCTTGCTGGGCCATTGAGAGCAGCCAGCGAGATGGGGACTCCCTGATGGGCACCACCCTAGCCTTCTAGGACTGTAGCTCCTTCTTGCTGCTCCGAACCTTCCAGTCCAGCCACTAAAGTGTTTTCTTTGGTGGCTAAGGAGCTCTCCTGGTTCCCAGTCCATGCCGGGGAGCTGCAGACCACTCACAGAAGCGCTGGTTTCCTGAGAACTGTGCGACCTGGCTCCCCCGCTCCCGGTCCCGGGGCCATGGCAGAGGTCCCTGTGAGGGGCGGTCTCAGGGGGCATGTCCCGAAGCAGGAGGAGTCGGTGCCAGCCACATCCATTTGCTTCCTGACAGCCTCAGTGTCGCTCCAATGGAGCAGAGGGCTTCTTCCAGGGCCCAGGCACCCAGGCCTGTCAGTTCTCCGACACCCGCTGGATGTGGCACCCGCGTCCGCACAAATACTTGGGTGGTGGTAACGTGCCTAGAGCCCTCTGTGCATATAACAACTCCTGTGCTGTTCTGCCATCCTGGTCACAACTGCCCCGCTCAGCAGACCGGAAGTTCCTGAGGTCTTGAGTCTCCTTGGAGCCCAGAACCTAGCAGAAGGAACACTCCGCTATGGTGTTCACTCCCGTCCCGGCTCAGACTCTGTGTACTCTCACTTAAATTATTAAACATACACATGTTTGAGTGAGGAGAGACTCAAAATATTTTATTTCCCAGGGAGAAATCACTTGCCCACAGAATAGAAGAGAGATAAGTATGAACAAAACTATGCTCTGAGCTATGAAAAGTGCAAATGTTTATCAATACATACATCTGCATAACAGCTCAATGTCCCTCAAGGTCCCCACTGCCTCTGGCCGGGAATTCCCTTGCAGTGGGTTACCCTGAAGAGGACGCGGTTGCCTTGGTAAGCCTCGAAAAAGCCACAGAGACAGGAAGGGCGAAAATATGAGGCCAACAATTCAAAACCTTTTCATCTTTTTGTTTTTTTATTTTAAATTACAAAGGATGTTGCATACACAGATGAGTCTGTATCTGACTAGAAGTGCCAAGGGGTTGGAAGGTGACAGAGAACAAAGGCAACATTGGAATTGCCTTTTCTTGTGGAAAGAAAAACTGCACAACTATTAACCAACATTTAATAGAATAAATGTTACACAGCTCATGCGTCAACAAGATAAAATTCTTTCTAGACAAAAGACAAGACTGAATCCAATCAAGTTTTATAGCTCCAGTTGTGGGGAAGGGGACAGGGGAACAAAACAACGGAATATGACAGCATTACAAACAGGATCCTGTGTGGCTATGCAAGAGAGGCGGCCACATTGCATGAACAAATGCTTTGAATTCTTGCCCTCCCGCTCCTCTGCAACTTCTTGTGCGCGGTCAGCCCTAGCATCACTTAACCAGCAGCGCTAAGTTACAGGCCGAACTCTCGGGTCAGAAGGTGAAGAGGGCAGGCAGTGGAATACAGTGTCATAAAAATGTGCTGGGAAGGCAGATACAGTACACACATACACATTTCTGTTATTTGGTGCAGGGGGGAGGGGAGGAAGGGCGAAGGGCAAGACACAGTCGTCAGTCCCGTCCCGTCCACCTGGAATTGAATGAACCACATCACTGTGTTCACATCGGTATGAGAGAGGCAAACCTCATTCACCTAGAACTTGGCACACGGAAATACCAGACTCAGGTTCTGCACTGGTCACCGACACGTCTCCGGAATACTATTGGGAAGTAGTTTTAAGGTTCTAGTCCCCCTCACGACTAGCCCCAGATCTTTCTTTTCTGAACGGAAATGGCAGTTTGGCAGAATCCCGTTCCTAGGTGCAGTGTCTACGATGTCAGTCCATTCACTAGGCGTGAGGGTTAAAGGTTATGCTTCAACACAGCCCCGCCTGCCCGTGGGGGGGCGGTCCACGTTCAGTAGTACATTTCATCATCTTTCCCCACATGCTGATTCCTTAACATGAGACAACCATCCCTAGAGCTGATGGTCATTGGTACATCCCAATGTGTTTGAAAGAGTAAAAAAACATGGAGTCATCTTCTCATAATGCCCTTATTAAGATTACAAAGATTACAAAAGAACCCACAAGTATTACGGCACTGTGTGAGACTTATTTGTCATGATTCGAGGGAAGAACAAGACTGGAGTTTTGTGCAAAGTTGTGGAAATGGCCTCAGTTCCATGGGAAACGGTATTCCACAATAGACTTCACTAGAAGGATAACTGAAACCTTTTACTTTAACACTGAAAGCTTAATTCAATGCATTCTCAAAATTCAAGTTTCAAGATTCGGAGAGATGCTAACAATCTGTTACATAATGAACTAGAAAATACTTAGACAGACTTTCAGGAAGACTATATAAAGAAAGGGAACCTAAGTTTTTGTTAATTCCTGCTGAAGGCAACTTGAATTCGTCTCTTAAAAAAGTGAACTAAATCTTAGCAGCTAAAATATTTTTTAAATGTATGGAATAAAGAAAAGCACATCCATTCTTGATATTTTGGTGAATAAACTAACAGCTTTATTAATGAAGGCAAACATCAGATAACTGTAGGAATATTATATATAAAAAAGAAATCCAAACGAACAGCATTGTATTTTAAAAGTACTGCACTTCTGTTTCTTTTAAAAGAGACTTGTCATCTGTTTTATAAAACAAACAAAACGGGTACTCTTCTAAAAAATTCTGGAAAAATGAAGAGAGTCAATTTCAAGCTGATGAATGGAACACACCTTTCTTTAAATGCAGACTATTGCGAAGGAGCAAATAAAGTCAAGCATCAGAAAGAAGATGTATGACAAATTCATGAAAGTCAGAAAAAAGGGATGTAGTGAAATTACCGCTCATCTTTCCCCCTCCTATTCAAAGACCACTCAAAACTGGTCTTTCATACAAATATAAAATAACTCTAGAGAGAGGGAATTTGAAACCGTACCCATCTGAACTCCTTCATGATGTTTTTGTAATAGCTCTGATTTTCTTACCAAAAAGGTCAAAGTGAAAGACTGAGGAAGTGGAGGGAATGCAGACGTTTTGTTTTCATGTACAAGTAAGGCACAATATAAAGCCACATCATAATCTGTCATGAAGAATATAGGAAGGGACAAGAATCATATATGGTACAGTAGAACAAGCAATCATATTGACTGAAAAAGTGTGGCACCCAATTCAAAACTCAGACAAGATCTTAACAAGAACAACTGGACAGCATGCTTTCATATGGAGACAAACTCTACAAAGATCCAGTGTATCGAAAACAAGGAAGAACGTTTTTTGTGTGTTTTGTTTTTGTTTTTGTTTTTAAATCATAGTTCTAGAGTCAATGTTCCTATCATTGCTTTGGAACAAGGGGTTCGTTGGAGGTGAATTCCCAATGCCTTCACTGAGAGTGGGATTCTGGACTTCATGAGGACTGTCTGGATACCATGTATGAACACAGAAGACCTTCAGAGAGCTCTTCTCCAAGGGTCTTCACCCAAAAACACAGGCCACAATTTCAAAAACAGAACATGTACAATTGTTGGGGTTTTTACATTACCCTTATAAGATCTCTTTGTGTGGTACACTAAACGGATATATTTAATGACAATAGAGGAAGCAGATTATTACTGGCATTAAAGTACAACCATTTCTAGACGGTTTTAAATGCCACAGAGTCCCCTGGTTAAAATGTAAAGCTGCACAGCTTGCCTATGTCATCTTTATGATAAAGTTAAACAGCAAGAGGATTTCACTTTCACTCTACATTTTCTGCCAGGTTTTTATTGAGATCAAGTATCGCTGCAGCATTCTGACCAGCCCAGATTTAGCAGCAAATGGCAGGAATCATATAAAATGCAATTTTTTTTTTTTTAACAAAGTGCTTTTCTAAGATATACATACATATATAAATAGGTACAAAATAAAGTGTCAACATTAAAAAGCTCAACTATTTAAAAGCTTTTAACTATTTAACTTAAGTAGTACATATAAAACACTGAAATGCAAGGATATGGAATCTACTAAACAGATTCAAAATCTTTTTTTGAAATGCAAGACCAAAAAATCAAATTCTGGTTTGCAAAGAGGAAAAAAGTTATCAAAAACCAGAATTTCTAACAGAGCAGCTAGAAAGGGGCAATTTTATAAACCTCATCAGTTGAATCTCTATCACGGAGTGATTTTCACCTGATTGCAAAACTGCCAGATTTTGGAATACATTTTAGTTTGCCAGACACACTCCGTCAAATCTTCATACACTCCCAAATTACAAACTTGTGCTTTGCCTTCTCCCAGAGAAAAGGAAAAACTTTAAACAATGAACTAATATACTCTATTCAGCCCTCGATCTGAGCTTTCCATCTGCTCAGTGTGAATGCACCACACAGGTACATTTCCACCAAGCTCACGGGAAATTCGGTGCATCCCAGTTCACAAGGTCCCAGAAGCTCTGCTCAGATGTTGCTGTGTGTGTTAGATCCAAGCTTTTATAAGCTATAGCTTCATGTGCTGTCACTTACAAATGGGCGGGGGTGAGGTGAGTCAAAGAAAACGAAATACACTAGATAGACAAAATATAACTAAAGAATAAATTCTCCGACGGGTAATGGAGAAATAGATACTCTCCCAGCAGCTAGGTCTGAAATTTTTGGTATTATTTTTTTCTGGTTAGGTAGGGATTTTTTTTTTTTAAAGTATAGTTTGTTTGTTTTTTCAGAGTTCAAACCGCAAGATTTGAGAGTAAAACAGTAAGAGAGACAGGACGGAAAGATCTGTGGAAAGGTTTATAATGTCGCCTTGACCAAGAAATTCCTCCTCCAGAGGTAAAGCTTTAACACAGTTAAAACACTGACTAAGGAAGCTGTTTTATGTGAGCAAAACAGAGCACCTAAAAACTAAATGTGTTACTATTTCTCAGTTCTAGAAACTATAAAAGAAGTCACATGTAAGTCTGGAGAAGCTAGTTTGAAAATACCTGTACAAAAATATAAAAATCTATAAATTTTTTGTTTTTGTTTTAAGCTTGTGTTGATCTTTGAAAATATTACATGCACAATAATACATCAATTGGAAAAGTGGCAACTAAAGAATTAGATATTTTTAGCTTTTCTCTTTCTTTACATATATATATGTACATAATACAATAAAAATAATCTGTATTTTGGTTGTTTGGTGGAAGTATACTACAATAAGCTAAATAACTTTTAAGTTTTCAAGGTCAAAAACTATTTTATCAATAGCTTACTAAAATGAAATATATTAAAATTTCCTACAATAAGTGCAGAAATAAAAAGACAGACATCTAAATGGCCACCAACTTATCTACTATGGAAGCGAACTAGAGGAACAGCAAAATAATATTTGTATGTGTAGATGCTCCTTCTGTAGATAATTGGACCCAACAGAAATAAAATTCACAGTTCAGTAAGATCCCTAACCCTGACCTTTCCATTTTCTTTTTTTCTTCTTTTAGTCATACATTCATACAGTATCATGTAAGCTGTGCAAAACTTTACTTAGACTGGCAGTTTGCCATATCAGTTGCATTTGTCTTTGGTACAAAAAATAAAACAATCGCAATAATGTGCAAGTGTCTTCTTCCGGTCAAGTACCGAAATATGAGTTTTCTAGAGCCATCTTTTTTGTTGTTGTTTTTTTTTTGTTTTTGTTTTTGTTTTTTTTTATACAATACATAGACTCTGTGGCATATTATCTACATTTCAACATAGTCCTATATACATTCAAAAAATCTGAAAAAGAGTTGCAACAAAAAAACATTTAAACCCCATAATTTTTCCATCTATATATCTTGTTTTTCCTCGTTAGGGTTTTCATCATACAAAATATTACCAGTTTTATAGTTTCTCCAAAATACAAGGCACAAAGAATATGCTTTTTTTTTTCTTACTTGCACTGATATTATATATATATATATATATATATATACTTATATATATTTATATATACCATATTGAGCTCAGAAAATGAATATCTAATATGGCACACGGGCATGAGTGCTGGGTTGTGCCATATACAAGTGACATTAATGGTTGTGGAAAATTAGAACAAAAAGCAATAATTCTAAAAACAACCTAAATTGCTTTTTAAAAATGCTTCCTCGATTTTTTTTGTATGGTTCAGAGCATAAACCTGCCACAATATATGGCATTTACTAATATCTTCACCCCTCCAAAATGTTTTTCTTTAACAGATTTTTGAAATCTGTACCTAAACATTTAGTTAAACACACGAGTTCCAATTCTGACGCCAGTAGCAGTTGTAACCATGGTTTATGCTCTGAAAATGCAGTAATCAAGTATTTTGGATCATGCGTCACTTATGCTACTTAGTTCTTAAAACAATGTAACCTAATTGCAAATGTGTACATAATGCCAAACTGACATGCAAAACAGAATGAAAATTTACAATGAGTAACGTAACGAACTCAGACATTGCTGACCAGTGGTCCGAGGCTGATTACACTTTCGATGCTGGTATCCTCAGTCCTACAAGGCCTCCGGTGGGATTGCCTTCTGCAGTCTTCTCTAACACTTGGTTAACAAATTCAGAGGTTTGCCCAGCAACGGGGAGACCTGAGGAAAAGCACAAATAGGCTCACTTAGACACAGAACGGGGGGGGGGGAGATCGGAGGGAGTGTGCTGGCCCTCAGCAGACACGGGTCCCTGATGAGTGCTCTGCTCCTTGCCACTGCAGCCCAGAAAATAACCCCACAATTAAAACTGGAGCCCGCAATTTTAAGATTAAACGGGTCAAATCAAGGATGACCATAAAGAATAGTTAATCAACAGTTTAAAGTGGGGGTAGATGACAAGTAATTACAGCCCAAAAGACAAAAATGAATCAAAGAAATGCCCGCACACCTTTGCTTCTGCACTACTTTGACCCCCAGGAAAAGGCACTTTGGTTTGCTTTTCTCTCTGTCTCCTCCCCACCTGCTGGCTTGGGTGCTCCCTTAGCCGCCGGCCACATGGCTGCACTGGCATGCAGTGACTTGTCTCTCTAGGATAAACTTTCTTTTCCTGCTCCTCTCCTGTGTCCTCTCTCTTGTGGCTGGACATACATGACCATCTCATGAGCAAATGCCATTTGTTTTACATTAACCAAAAACAAGGAATTCTGTGAAGTTTGAAGTTAGAAAAGCTATCACGAACAAAACTTTCTTTTGCAAGTTAAAAAAGAACTAACTTCACACATCAAATAAGTAACAGAAAAGTATCAAGGTCAAAATCCCATAAAAAGTTGCTGTAAGACTAAAGAAGATTGCTACAAACAATAAAAGTATGCCTAAAAGGCATGAATAACCATAAAAAGGATGAAAACCATAACCCATTATTATTTCACAAGAAACAGAAGACAGAATGCACCGAAAGAAAATAAAACAAAAGCCGTTAAACAAAGAGCATGTAATGTAGCCAAAGCAATTGCTTGGTGCCTCGGGCTCCTCACTGACTGCGCTCTGCCTCAACCCCCAGGGATGCTCCTGATCCGAGTGATCTGCCCGGTGCCTGTGTGAGCTCCCTGCTCTCCTGGTTAGGGAGCCGTGCCTGACTTCAGGATGCCTACCTCTGCTCCTCCCCGCCTATAATAATAAAAGCATGACACACACTGGAACACCTGCCAGAGGAAGCTGCGGCGTTGGGGGTCGAGGCAGAGGCCCCCAGCCTCAGTGGCAGGCAGGGGCTAAGGCAGAGGTGGCCGCCGTGGTTTGTAGGGGCCAAGGCAGCCTCCTTTGCTGCGGGGGCCGAGCCCCTTGCACGAATTTCGTGCATCGGGCTTCTAGAGTTACATAATCTGTTCAGAAATGGAGCTCAGACAGTCAAGTTTGTCAGAATCCTGTGGAGTGTGTTAGGGGTAAAACGAATAGGCGAGCACCTCAACTACAGTATGAACTGCAGGCCTGACCCCTCAGAGATCTTTGTTTTCCTCCTCCCCAGAGAAAGTTAAGGTTGCTAGAAGTTTTTCTTCCTTAAGAGTTAAAATAGTTCAGTGATGAGATCTAAGTACAATAACAGGCAGTCGGTATTGATGAATGATAAATCTCAAAGGATAAAACTAAGCAGCCAAGCAATGATTCTCTCTCATCATCTATGTTTCTATTTCACACTCCCTCTCCTTTCCTCCCTGAAATCGATAAAAATATATTTAAAAATAAAATAAATATTTAAAGAGACAAAACTACTTGTAACAGAGTAACTACAATGAGATCACTTGAGTTTTTTCTTATCCTCTCGAAGCATACATTTTTCACTACATGCCATTACTGATATTCGTTATCCAGTATCCTTCTTACCAAGAGTATCTTTAATGAGGATTTCAAGCTTCTGCCCCATGTTGGGTCCTTTCTCCTCTCTTGGATTCTGTACTCGGTTTACAATCTCTTGCTTGATGGAGTTGATTACAAACAACAAATTATCTGTAAGACAGAACAAGATACTTGGAGTGTGTCACTAACATAGAAGAATTTTCTTTTAATTATGTAATAACAGATACTCAATTAAGAAATGGAAAATGTTTAAGAAAACATTAAGCAGTGATAGTTATAAGCTTTCTTATCCAAGCAGGCTAATTTCAAATGATGTGCCACTTTTTTCTTAATTTCAGAGAAGAAGGGAGAGGGACAGAGAAACATGCAACCCAGGCATGTGCCCCTGATCCGAAGGGAACCAGGCCCCTTCAGTCTGCGGGCCGATGCTCTATCCACTGAGCCAAACCAACTGGGGCTGATGTGCCACTTTGGGTAAAACACTGCAGACATGTGTCAATGTCCACTGTCCTGTAAAGAACTCGCCCTATTTGTCCTCAAAGCTGTAAGACCTATGGCAGTGCCTGCTGTATCGATTCTTAAGATCTTAGTAAATGTTTATTAAATAAATCAAAGTCCTTCAAAGACTAAAGCTTTAAGAACTAATTTCCCTATCTTAAAAAGCTTAAAGAGAAAGAGCAGAATTAACCAAAAGTAAATAAGAGGAAAATAATAAAGATAACAGCAAAAATCAATGAAGCTGGACACAAACATATAACAGAGAGTGTTAACAAAGCCTAAAGCTGGTTCTTTGAAAACACCAACAAAATGGATACCTCCTCCTACTCCCAACCCCCATCCCCAGCTAGACTGATAGATTATATCTAGAATGAAAAGGGGGTTATTACTTCAGAATCTAGAGCCATTAAAAAGATAATAAGAAAAAGCTATGCCAACAAATTTAACAACTTGGATGAAATGGACAAATTTCTTGAAAACAAGAAGAAATGGAAAATCTAACAGCCTATTTCTAGTAAGGAGTTCAATTTATAAAAAAAATACCCCCCCCCCCCAAAAAAAAAATACAGGTGGTTTTAAGGACAAATTCTATCAAACATACAATGAAGAAATAAAATTGATCTTAAAGTTTTTTTAAAAAAAGATAAAGATTATGGCTCAATTCATTCTATAAGGCAAGTATAGCCCAAAACCTAAATCTGACCAATATGTTATAAAAAAGAAAAATTATAGACTAATATAATATCCCTCTTGAATATAGACACAAAAATCTTTAACAAATTATTTGCAATAGACTCTATTATAAAAAGGAAAATACACCATAACCAAGTAGTTTATTAATAATGCAAGGTTGATTTAATGTTTAAAAATCAGTTAATGTAATTCACGGTATTAACAGGTGAGTATGTGATATATTACTAAGGGAAAAAGGATAATACAACATGATTATTCTAATAAATGCAAACAAATCCCTTATATGACAATATTCAATAGCTATTCATGATCAATGAAACTAGAAAAAAAATTCAACTTACTCCAAATGGATAGAGGCATCTCATCTACAAAAAAAGCCTAGAGCTGATAGATATCATAATTAAAGGTGAAAAGTTCCTGACCCTCCACCCCAAAATTGCAAAGTAATCACCACTTGTATTCAATATCCTAGACATTGCAATAGGGAATGAAAATAAATAAAAGGCATAAGATCAGAAAGGAAGAAATAAAACCTTCCCTAGTTAGCCCTGGCTGGTGTGGCTCAGTTGGCTGGAGCACTGTCCCACACACCGAAAAGTTGAGGGTTTGATCGCTAGTTGAGGTGCATTTCTCTCACATCAAGGTGTTTCTCTCTCTCTCTCTTCCCCTCTCTATAAGGTCAATGAAAACATATCCTCTGGTGCAGGTTAAAAAACACACAACCTTTTCCTATTTGAGAATGATAATGGCTTCAATAAAAATCCCAGAGCATCTACATATCTACTAGAACTGATAATCAAATTTAGCAATATATAAGAATAATACTCAAAAATGCATTTCATATGCATTTATAATCAGCAAAGAGTTTGAAAATAAAGTTTCAAAAATAATTCCATTTACAGCAGTACCCAAAAAATATATAAAATACCCCGAGTAAATCTCACAGAAGATGTTCAGCACTCTATACTGAAAATGATAAAGAAGGTGGAGAAAAATTAAAGAAGACTTAACTAGATGGAAAGAGATGCCAAGTTAATGGATTGGAAAGCTCCATTTTGTTAAGATGGTAATTCTCTCCAAACTGATTTACACACTCAAAGCAATCCAAATCAAATTTCACTAAGCTTTTTTTAAAAAAGGAGATACATTAATTCTAAAATTTATGTGGTCATGCAAAAGACCTAGAATAACCAAAACAACTTTGAAAGGAGAGAAGAAAATTAGAGGATTAGCAAGGACTAACACTAGCTGACTTTAAGATTTACTATAAAATGCAGTAATCAAGATCGTTTACATAAAATAAAGATAGACAAATAGGTCACTGGAACAGAGTTTAGAAGTAGACCTATACCAACCTGGTGAATTGATTTAACAAATACAAAAATATACAGCCATAGAGATGTATATAATTATGGATAAATACATTAACCGAACAACACAGAAATAGATGCCAACATGTGTCCAAAGAAACATAAACCCAGAAGGCGCCCGGGGGGCCCACCACATCCCCTGCAGGGTGATCCAGCTGGGCCCTAAAGACGTTACAGCAACCCCATCTATACACATTCACAGAGTTCAACTCAAGATGCTTCAACAGCAAGAAAGAATAGTAGGAAAATGGAGATTTCCATTCCAAGAAGCCAACTATTGGTTCATCTAATTCATTTATCTTGAGTAGAGTGGCCATTAATAAATAACATCAGTTCGTTTAACAAGTTATAAACTTCAGTTGTAAATCCTCTTTCTGCCCTCACAGATGGAAACAAGATAATCAAGATCAAGGATTAAGAAAAACTACACAAAGTTTATGAGCATCTATGTGCCAGACATCATGCTGGGTTTAAGAAAATCTTGAGATACAAATAATCATCACTTTGCCACTGTTCCACTTTCTGATACAACTTACTGAAGGTGACAATTTTAGAGGCAAAGGAACATGCAAACTCTAATACCAAGCTTAAGGAAAGGAGGAACACAGCCCATGCCAGAGCTTTCTAACTCCCCAGCGTACTATGCAGGGCTCTAGGTGAAGGAGAATGGTCCTCTCCGCCCACGGAGGCTCTAATGAGGCCTATGAGCAGGACACCCTCTCGTATTCCAGGATGCCTTAGACATGATAATTCGCTGCATGTGCCAAGACGTGAAAGATTGGGAAGTACCGATTTGAACCAATGATTCCCAAAATACACTAGGAAGGTTGCATAAGAGTAACCAAGATGGCGTTAAAAATGTAAATTCCTGGCTCTCCTTGCACAGATTGCAATCCAAAGGGTCTGGCAAGAAGCATAGGATTCTGTATTTCAACACGTACAGAGACAAATCCATGAGACAAAACCCTGTAAACCAGAGATCTAAACTATCCATTCACAGGCTAAAATAAACAGGAGTCAGTAAATGCGGCTAACCCAGCAGCACCACTATGAAAGTAAGAAATTACTATGCTCACAATTAATGAGCTCCTCAGGGCAGAGATGAGATCTGACCGGGAAGCCCCAGATGGAGATGCTCACACTGGGGCGGGAATGAGTAAGAAGAGCATGTAGCTTACTGAACCGATTAACGAGGAGGCTGGCCTAAAACTGGGCAGAATGCAGGCAAAGCAAAAAACCTAAGAAAAAGAGTGGTCAGCAGAGAAACAGGAGGTTAATCAAATTCTTAAAGGTGTAGGTTTACCGTATTCTGTGTTGAGGCCCCATAATTTCACTTTGTTAGCTTCATACTGGGCTTTTTTCTTTAACCGACAAGCCCTGTGAAAGGAAGAAACAATTCGTTCACTTTTTTTTTAAGTGAACGTTGAGAACTTTCCCCCTTCATTTTCTAATAGTAACCAAAAACCACTGCCTAACAACAGTAACTCATTTACCAAAAACCCACAATATAATAATTGATCTAAACTGATTTTAAAAAAATTTTAAACATAGTCAAAAATAAAGCCCTCATATATTGCTGGTGGGGATATAAAATAGGACATATAGCTAACTTGAAAGTAGTAACTTAAAAAATTTGCTTTATTACTTTGGAGATAACTAACGACCGTTTTTTTACTTATAAAATTAAACATAAAAATTCATTTCCTAGAGAGATGAAAACTCATGTTCACACAAACACCTGTAAGTGAGTGTTTATGGTGGCTTTAGTCAAAATGTCCTTCCGCTGGTGAGTGGGTAAACTGCAGACATCCCTCCAAAGGACCACCACTCAGCAACACAAAGGAACAGACTATTACTCCGCACAGCAACATGGGTGAATGTCAAATGCATCATGGTGAACCAAAGAACTCAGAGCCAAAAGGCTATCTGCTGTATGACTCCACCTCTATGACGTTCTACAAACTACAAATAAAACACAGATGGGTGGTGGGGAGGGGGCAAGGGCGGGAGAAGGGTTTACGAAGGACCGTGAGGACATTTTTTAAGGTAATGAAAATGTTCAATGTCTTGATTGTGGCGGTGCTTATATGATCAGGGTGTTTGTCAGAACTCATAGAAGAGTATGCTAAAAGGGGTGAATTTTAATTACTACACAATAAAGCACGAGGCTACGATAAAAATGTTCATTGTTATGCTAGACTGGAGTCCATGTACCTCTCTCCCCCTTTAAAAACTTTTCCCACCAAGCATCAAAGGGAAAATTATAATTCTCTCGAAGCGTTTATAAAAGTCCATTTCTGAGTAACTGGTGGAGGGGCACCTGAGCTTCCACTCAGGCTCGCGGCAAGGCCCTCCTGGCCTTCCCTCCCGCCACGAGAGCGCCCAGCGCTCACCGGGAGGCCAGCTTGTTCTTCTCCTTCCGGGACCGCGGCCGGGCGGTCAAGGGCAGCTCGCTGACAGGCGTCAGGTCGCTGATGACTTTGTTCAGCTTGCGCAGCTCGTTGCCTATCTGCAGCAGCTTCTTCGGGTTGGGGGTCAGGTCTTCGACGTCAGTCCTCCGGGACTTTTTTACCGCGTACTTGCCTACAGGTGGTTTAAAAGAAGAGTGAGTTACGCCGTCTTATTTAACAAGGGGTGCGTTTTCTGCAGCCGTGTTTTAAAACCACATCTCTTCCCCCCCCCACCCCCCACCCCTTTTCTTATCCAGAAGTCTCGGCACGGTTCAGAAGTCTCAGAATGCTAACGTCCTGTGCTAGAACCCAGGAGCCTTCTCTCTTTCCCGCTCTGTGACTGCAAGAAATGGGGGTGATATGATTTCCATTCCTTCCCACCTCTAGGTTTCCAGCCCGAGCATGACAGGGTCTTATTATTTGCATGGCAGTGAAAAGCATCTCAAACTTTAGGCCTGGAATGCAAGTTCACCGGCACAGAAAAATCAGGGCTAGGGTCTAATACCGTATATGGTCAGAGAAAGATTTTGGAGATTTTTAGATGCTTTGGTGCTCTGACTGAAATGTGTCAGATTATACAGAGTCTTGTGTTGGGACTGAAAAGTCCATCAAGTAAAGGTTGCCTTTTTTGAAAGGGTAGTTTGGCATATAACTCACAGAAGACTCCAGGGCTCCTGCCCGTCACTGCAGGCATGAGGGCTGGCTCTGGCCTCGGAACCACCACACAACTTTCCTAGTGCTCCCCACATGCTTTATGGACCTATTTACTGGTCCTGTCTTTTCAATGAGGTAGGAAAATTGATCTGAAGGCAAAAACTGGGTTTTCCTTCATTGAGAAACAGTAAAGTACAGGCCTGGGTACCAGGGAAAATGAGGCACATGCATACTTCTGATCCAAATCCAGGGTCAAAATGCTTAGCAACTGAAGTCTGCAGCAGGAGTGATTACTAAACCGTGTACTGAGCACCAATCTGACTAATGCCCTCCTCTATGGGTGAATGTAAAAGTATGGAACAGATTTTTGGATTAACATAAAAAAATCACATTTTTGCAGAAGGAATTCTATTCAATTACATTGCCCTGGGTTCACAATTCCAAGTTTGACCTGCCTGAGATTATAAGCTTCTCTCAACCCTTATTTCCCACCCTTCTCTCTCCACTCCTTTTCATACGACTATTTCTCCTCTTTTCCTCTCCCTCCTTTCCTCCCCCCACCCTGTGGATCCCAATCTCCCGTCGATATTAGGCCTGGAGACTGAATGAGAATGACAGTTGAGTGCTGGAGCCCGTTCTCCTTCCCAACCCTGTGGTTTATAGCAACTGTGACGGGTCAGGAATCAGAGCTTCCTAATCATTGCCTGGAAGTAACCGGAAATGAAATCATTTTGCACAGGCTTGCCTCCCTGACTAGGTAATGGTTCTCAACCCTGGTCAAGCTGTTTGTGCAAACACAGCAGCTCTACTGCTTCGCTCTCCAGCTTGCTAAGGAAGGGGTGAACACCTACATACAATGATTAAACATGGCTTAGCATCTATGTAAAGTGACACAAAACATTTGACCACAATACCCTCTTACCGTGATGCAAGCCATTTTTCTGATACACATTACTTGGCAAGGTGTCTCGGTTCCATTCGGACGGCCTGAGCATCCTCTCTGGCTGTGACGGGGTGAGCTGTTCACTGTACTCCCAGAAGTATCTTCTTTTACCTCTCTTCCGAGAGGACACCGAAGTCATCTCCTTCAAGTCTTCCACGGAGTCATTTTCATACCCTTAAAAAACAGAAAGCCCCACCCCAATTTTTAAGTGCCACGGATCTCAATGGACCGACGAGGACAAACAAAAAGACCCTTCTATTTGTCCCTTGAAACATTTCCTTTCATCTGAAAACATCATTGCTTATCACTGGCATGTCAAAGATTATGAACCAGGTCTATACAATAATACCCTTTCCAATGGAAATCTCTAACTCATAAAATATTCAGACAAAGATAAGAAACACAGATGACTAGACTATCTTCTTGGTGTTTCTCTTTGGTTTTTATAAGTTAATATGTGACACACTGTATTTTCACATAGGATTGAGAGAATAATGAAATACAGCTACAGAAATGTCAAAAGGACCATAAGATAATGGTACTTAGCCACTATACTGTGACCTTATAATGTCTTCTTTTTAATACCAACGCCTCTCAAACACCCCAACAGAAAGCTGTGTGCATTTCTGGGGTGATATCGTACTAGGCATTGAAAGCACACAAAGGGCAGTTCTCACAGAGGCTATTAAAAGTGTATGCGCCATGCTTGCTTTGGCAGCACATATACTAAAACTGTAACGATACAGAGAAGATTAGCATGGCCCCTGCACAAGGATGACGTGCAAATTCGTGAAGCATTCCATATTAAAAACAAATAAAAAAACGTATATGCCTAATGTTTTACTGGAAACAATCTGCATTTACTTCACTTTTTAAGAAGTTGTTTTCGTTACTAATAGGAAATTTCAGAAAATACGTAATTCAGAGCTGCTAGAACGACTGGTCAGTCCCAATACAGGCTGACCTCTCACTCGCACATACCCTCAGAGAACGCCCACCGTGTATGTGTTCCATGCACTAGGGCTGGGCACCTGGAGTGGTGGGGACGGGCCAGGCACAGGACGCCCACAACCCCAAACCTAAGGTAGCCAGAAAAAACTGGGCTTCACTGGCCAAGCAAAGGGACCACTTTCCCTACTAAAAATGTGACTCCTCTGCAACTGACACTAAGAAAGTGATGACATCCAAGCGTTTGGGGGTGGGGTGGTAAAATTTTAACAGGTTTTGTTCAGATTAAGAATTAAGAATATGATTCCACTTACATGACATTCTAGAAAAGGCAACATTATAGGGACAAAGTGATTGCCAGGAGCTGGGGGTGGAGGGAGGGACTAACTATAAAGGAACGAGAGAAACTGGTGTGTGTGTGTGTGTGTGTGTGTGTGTGTGTGTGTGTGTGTGTGTGTGAGAGAGAGAGAGAGAGAGAGAGAGACAGAGAGAGAGAGAGATATCAAATTCTTCTGTCTTGAGTGTGATTACATTATGACGTGCATTTTGTGAAAACTCACTGAAGGGTTTGGGCACAAAGGGAGTGGGTTTTACTGTGTGAAAATTATGCCTCAAAACACATGACCTTTAAAAAGAGAATCAGTTGGAAGCAGCAAATGATTTCAAGGCAGCAGTGAGGACAAGTGCGGGACAGCATTAGCGTGCACCTGTGGTTCTTTAGAACACCGTGGCAGGCAGTGGGACCGCAATCTTTTATAAGAAATAATGCCCAAGTTCAGCGACACAATCATTTCTAGAAGTTCAATTTTTAAAAACTGTTTTATAGCTTTGGCCTTTTTACTTATGTGAATGCTTTGCTTCAAACGGAAGGATTTTATCTTGTTCCCAGTTTGCCATGTAGCTTTGGAAAAGGTGCAAGGGCCTCCCTGTGCCACCTGAAATGACCTTTTAAAAAAGCCCTTGTCCGGGCCAACCAAAAATCACTGGCTCGCAGTGATCACCCTCACATGCCTAGGAACATCTAACACTGGCAGACGGACCAACCCCAACACTCCCATCTTCCCACCAGCGTCAAGAACTGGTGTTCCACATTTAGGTCTATTCCAGCCCCAAGCATCGGGCGGACACGTGTATGAACAGCTTCCTCAGGGGGTGGGGATTACGTGCACTTGTGAGGGCCCACAGAAGTGGGGGCTTAAAGGGGTGAACCCATGTCCCCAACACTACGTGATATGCTCCCTTAGCTAGCAACTTGTCCTTATATGTTTCATTCACAGATACTTCATTTCTGAACCTGATAGGAAAAGATCATTAGCCCGCTCTTCACAGAGAAACACACTCATGGAGGGCTTAAATGACTGGGCAGAGCCTGGGACTGACTGAGGCCCCATGACTCAAGGAGTTTAGCTCCAACGGAATGTCTCACCTTCCCTGTGCTTCTCCAGTTGAAATGTCTAAATGGATTTAGACATGTCTAAATTCAAAGAGTTATGAAGATTTTTATTTCTTCTATCCCACCCAAATTAATTACCAGTTTTATTTACTGTTGTATAATCTGTTTCCTTTGACCTAGTATTTTCACATTTTTTTCCTTTTTAAAAATATACATATTTTTATTTTTTACAGAGAGGAGAGGAGAGAGATAGGGACTTAGAAACATTGATGAGAGAGAAACATCGATTCAGCTGCCTCTTGCACACCTCCTACTGGGTATGTGACCACAACCAAGGTACATGCCCTTGACTGGAATCAAACCTGGGACCCTTCAGTCCTCGGGACCACGCTCTATCCACTGAGCTAAATCAATTAGAGCAGTGGTCGGCAAACTCATTAGTCAACAGAGCTAAATATCAACAGGACAACGATTGAAATTTCTTCTGAGAGCCAAATTTTTTAAACTTAAACTTCTTCTAATGACACTTCTTCAAAATAGACTTTCCCAGGCCATGGTATTTTGTGAAAAAGCCAAACTCAAAGGGCCAAAGAGCTGCAGTTTGCTGACCACGGGGTTAAGGCTATTTTCCAAGAGCATACACTACAGTACACGTGCGAGCGCGCGCACGCGCGCACACACACACACACACACACACAATAAATTGTTAGCTAAAGTCATCCATCTTTTAATACAGAGACTACCGTGATCCAGTAAAATGCAGAAATATTATATTCCCAGCTCACTGGTTGAGCATTTAATGTCTGTAACTATCTCTCTAAGTATGTTCTGAGAAGCACTATTACTATAAGATATGCCTTCATCCCCAAGTGAGTTCTACGGTCAAATAAGGTGTTAGAAACTCATCCTGCACCTCTCTCTTGCCGAGTCCCAGCACAGAGGAATGTATTAGAAGACAGCAATCACAACAGTAAATAGATCCAGGCAACTCTGAGCCCCATGAAGATGAGGATCATGTCTATTCTGCTCATCTCTGTACAGCCAATGCCTAATGCACACAGTGCCAGACACAAAAGGAGGCACTCAACATTTCCCACCAGCACCCCCCCCTTTTTTTTTCATTTAATGGGTCACCATACTGATCTCATTCCTTCCTGACATGATAATCAAAAGAAAGTCAAAAAGGATTATTTATTGCCTAAAATTCCAAGCCCACACCATTGGTTAGCGAGGATTACTGCAATTAAGCTGGTAAAGTCTATGGTAAAAATGTTCACTAGGGATTACAAAGTGAACTCTCATTCTGGGGGCCCAGTTCTTAATCTTACCCCATGGAACTCCGTGACCCCAAGCGATGCAGCCCGACCACAGCATAGGCTCTATTAAAACTTGGCAGCCGGTCCAGAGTGGGGACTGAAACTCCATTTACACCTCTCCTACAGCTTTGTAGGCTCGGGCACTGTAGCAGCGGAGTGCCAAGAACCAGCATCCAGGGAGCTAGACACCACAAAAGGGCCTTTATAAACGGTCTGCTGCAAATTAAACCAATCAACCCACTCTAAAACTAGTACTCTGAAGAAACTATAACTATTCCACTTTTCAGCTTCAAAGAATTCCTTCCTGCTTCTCACCAATAACTCACTTGTGCACCCCTGAAGTCGCTTGTTTAGCTCATTCTTTCAAGAAAAGGGGACATTTTCATTAGCAAATATGAATAAAGCCCAGTTATAACCACCAAATTGTGCTGCTTTTTAGACTATCATACTTTTAACGTTTGTGAGAACTAGTAAGTGATCCTAACCAAGGAGGTTGGACTTGAAGTCAAATGAAAGAAAGCGAATTCAATGCCATCCAAACACTCAGCATGTTAAGCTGCACCAAGAGGAGAGCTAGCCCGGCAGAGTGCCAGCTCACCTAGCTCTGTCTTAGGGCAGCGCTGGTTGCTTCTTAACACCAGCACGGAAATGCGGCCTGCCAGGACAATACCAACTCCGACACTGTTCCCAGCTTTAACAGAGTCCAAGGCTGAGAAAACGGAAATGGCCTCTCTTCATGGACCCACTCGCCCCCCAACACAAAACCAAGTCAAAAGCTCAAGAATGAATGTAAAGTGGAGTTAGAAGTCAAAGAGGAGAAAAGCTAACACCAGAAGTGGGGCAGGCAGCATACATAGGTCCTTGCCTGGTTGCGGTGGAGGGGCTTACTCACTGATTTATCTATTCCTTTAAACGCCAGCTGGCAAAGGCATTTCCTTCCCTACACTTTCCATTTCCCTCCGTTACTACCTGTCTCCTCCTGGCCTCCCTCCTCCTCCCCTCCTATCTTAATTCCAAACATGTCCTCAAGCAACAGGGCTGAGCTGCCAGACCCAGGACCACACTGGTCTTCCTAGGGGAGGGAGGCTAAGTAAACCACCGCTACAAAGACAACTTCCCTTGAAACATTTCAAAGCAGATTTTATTAGTTTGTTGAAAAATTCTCCTGCTGAGGAGGAAAGACGATTGTTCTATCTAGACTATACAGCATTCAAAAGTAAACCAAAGACAAGGCGAAACCTCCTTTCCTCCATATTAAACTTAATGTACCTTTTCCTTAGTTGCAACCCCACCCAAGTCAAACAACGTGGTTGTATCAAATGCATCAAGCAAAGCATGTGTGTAATAGTAAGAGTGCACTAAAAGGAGTCTTTCAGTAATAACAGTGCTCCAGTGCCTACAATACAGCTACTATGCCTTCAAAACCCTTCCAAAAATTAAATGCCAATGTTTACACTGCTGGCAATTCCAGCAATCATCATAACAAACGGGAAGGGATTTCTTTGACAATGTTAACGTTTTTTAATAACTTGATTTTTCATGTAGGTGTTACAGTATCAACATTATTTCTGAAGAAAATAACTCTTGCTTAAACTTGAAGATCTTCACTTCTTTGTGTGTTAACTGTGTTCCACTTGGCAATGCCATTTTCATAAATAAACGGCACAAGCCAACAGCAGCAACAGCCCAAGCATGTAAATGCCGGAGTGGACCAGCTCCCCACAGGTCTCTTTCTTTCTCCCTCTATTTGTAAGGGCTATATATAAATAAAACAGTCTCCTTCGTGCTTATTCAATGATAGCAGGTATTTTTCTTCAGCGGAAAAATACTGTGCAAACGAAAGATGCAGCAGACAGAGAAAAAGCTCTCTTCTATGTTATTCACCCAGTAGGCTTGGTTGGTTATCGTCATGAGTAACATAAACCATCATCCCTTGGTTCCTCATTCTAGGGACTCCTAACTTACCTCAACAATAACAGAACGACTCGTGCATAAAAAGGGAATATTTTTAAGCCAATCAATTCTTGGCATCGTTGCACAGCTGCTCAAGAGAGTGATAAATCAGGTCACTTAGCATGAAACAAATTTAGAATTAGCCCTCGAGGAAATCAGCATATGAGCCACAATATGAGCAAAAGGGATTATTTTAGAGCTGTCTGAATAGATAAAAACCACTTACATATCCGGGCCAAGATATTAAGTCATTTAATCCTCACACTAAGACAAAGAAAGCATCCACAGCAAAACCTCCTATTTCCACACAGGAGGAGACAGAGCAGTCTGTAAGCCTCTAAGCATTAGAATACCTGGTTCAGAGAAAGTGTCACTAATATCATCATCCTTGTCATCTTCATAATCTTCCTCCTCTTCCTCTTCCTCCTCCTCATTTTCAGAAAGTTCATGCTCGCTGCCAAACCCTTCGTCGTGGTCCTCATCATCGACATCGTCGTCGTCCTCCTCCTCTTCCTCAGGGCTGCCTCTGGCCGGCTGCTCGCCCAAGGTGTCGGAGACGAAAAGGGAGTAGTTGTGCTCTTCTTTTTTCTGGGATGAATCCGAGACCGAGGTGCTGGCAGAAAGGCTGCTGCTCTCCCCTGCAGCGACTGCCCCCGGCCCCTCTTGGGGCAGGGGACTGAGCAGTAGTTCCTGGGTTTCTTTAAAAGGCAAAGCTGGAGTGGCATGACCCTGAAGAGGCTCCGTCCCTTTCCTTTCTGGCCTCTTTGCCACCGCCCCGCAGTAGCAGGTGTTCTCCTTTGCGGCGTCTGCGTGAGCCTGGCTCGGCAACGGCCGGCTCTGCTGCGCGGGGCTGATCCTCACGTTTGCCTTTTTGACATAGTCTTTACATTCAACGTGAAAGTTCACCTTCTCAGTAAGGTGCATGTTGGTCTTCACCGTGATCTGTGTGCTTGAAGTGGGCTTACTGGCTTTTTGGACACAGTCTGACAAGGGGACCTCAGCTTGGAGAATCTTAAAAGAACACACCGGGGCAGCTGCTCGGCTCGCGATCTTTTTAGCAGGGAATGAAGAGGGCACGGGGTTTTGTTTGGCGCTGAAAAGGGAATCTGGGCAGTACAGGGAGTCAGAAACAGACTGAGAGTCTTCACTATTCAGCTGGGCCAAAGTCGGAGTTTTGCTTATGACCTCTTCATCTTGGTAAGGGCTGGAAAAGTCATCAAGACCCAAGTAATCCACTTCTTTTGTTCCCCAGATGTCACAGCTGGTCAGCTTGGTGTACTTTGTCAAGTCTTCACAGTATGTATCCCACTGCTCCCAGTTTGAAGTTAAAGTGCCCTCGTTATCCAGGACATCTGTGAAAGACTCCAGGTTTTCAATGTCTTTGCAGTCCTCCAAAGAAAGGAAGCTGTCTCTAGGATTCTGCTGGTAGTTCATCTCTCTATCCTGAGAAAGGTTTAAAAAAATCACACACATATTTTAGGAAATAAATATCCACCTCCATCCTCGTCCATATATTAAATTGATAAACAAGCGCTTGAACTCTGCTCTGTTTTATTTTAAGATAAAGGCTACTTACATGAAACTTTACCATTCCATATAGGTAACATCATTTCCTTGGGCAAGAAAAAAAAAAGAGGGAAAACATGTCCCTTGAGAGGTTGAAGTACGGTGCAAATATCAAGGCCTATTAAACTTTACTATAAACACTCTTCCTGAAAAAAAGTTTATATTTCCTGATCTTTGACCTAAAGGATATTGGTACCTCCTTGGAAACAGGCTCATTTACAAAGCAAACAGTAAAGACCTTACCTTCATCACAGAAGAATATGCCTTCTTAAATGAACTTAAAGCTAGAGGCAAAGAGCAAGCCAAAGAGAGCTGGACCTCAGCCACAGACAAAGAAGCTCTTTGGAAGACCTTGTAACAACTTTCAGGCTTGGCAAAGAAAATACTCCCCATGAGTAGAGATGTGATTAAGACTGTGCAGCCATTACAAAGAATTCAGCTAAGCTCTAATGGACTAACATGAAAGGCTGCTTCGTCATATACTTTTCTGTTAAAAAGCAGATATTGCTTGGAATTGCTCATTTTTGTCTCACATTTTGTCGTATGCCTTGCTCAATGTTACCATTTGTAAATTTTCCAGTTCAAAAGTCTTTCAGTATTTAGATATATGAAAGAAAGACTGCTTCCCATCCTCCTCATCGAAAACCAGACTCAGGGTATTCAGAAATCCATTCCTCTTACTATTTTCAATGGGCTCATACGTCCTTCTAAAATGACTAGATTCACAATCACAAGAATCAAATTTGGCCTTTATAAATAAATAAAAAAACTCTACCAAAAACACTTTTACCACAAATCAAAGAATATAAGCACATGTTACTTACCAGTTCATACATGAAATCTGGATCTGAGCTGTTTGCTAAGAGGTCTGTGCTCATCAGAGTCTGTTCCGAGAAAGTGTGGCTTCGGAAGGCATCCCCGAAAGGCGGGTCCATTCCGCTCACACTGGGCTACAACCGAGAGGGTTTAGCTTTAGATCATGGACGGCTACTCAAGACGGCCAATTTATTACACATTTGTCCCGTCCCCACACCTACTATTTTCAGAAAACAATTGTGTTTCTTCTCCTGTTAGTACATCTAGGACATTTAGCACTTAGCTGTGGGTTAATATTACGAAAATAACTAAGATATATAAAAACAAAAAAAGAAGAGTGTCAATCGTTCATAATATTAACCTCTAAAAACTAAAGCTTATTTAGCCACCAGTCAGCATACAGTACCTAATGAATACTTTTAGTAGGCTATAAATATTCTTCAAATCCGTCTCTAATGACTAACTCTCTGTACTCACTCCCTGAAGAGGAGAGCTGCCATTTCCTGGGGTCTAAGGAGGTAGCGGGTCGGTCTAACTCTGGACTCCTAAGTGAGTCCTCAAAACAGGCTGGAAGAGAACGTGGGCATCTCTAGTCAACGAATGCCTCCAGGAACGTGATGGAGATACAACCAGCCAAATATCCCCAAATCCCCTGGGTGAGACCAGTGACTTAGAGCTCAGCAGCTTTAATCCTGACTCCTGAAAAGTGTGCAATTCATTCTATAATAAATAAGAAAGGGGAAAAGCCTCGGCACCCAGAGTTAATCCATCCTCCTTTTCCATTTCAACGTCTCTATAAACCACTCTAGAGTGAAGGCGGGGCTCACACGCCTAAATTGGTCCAAACAAGTAAAAGCCCTCCCTCTGAAATTGAACTTGCATAAAGGAAGAGGATGGGAAAAAATAAATATTCCCTCTTTGCTTTTTTGTTCTTATTCAGTAAGTTTCTGCTGAAACATTAAAAAATTATTAGTCTGCTTGTTTACATTTTTGTATACAAACACCTTTATCATACATACTCTCTCGTCATGTTTTCCTTCATTGGAACATCCCACCCCATTCTTTTCTGATTTTCCCCAACCCTACAAGATTGCAAACTCAAAATAAGTGTCTTATAGTCCCAATTCAAGTATTTGATAAACAGCAAATTAAAACTTGAATGGGAAAGAACTGTGAATGGGTATGTGCGGCCACTTGGCAGGGAGGTTGGGGTGGAGGCAGGCTGCTGGTCTTTTTAACATCAGCCAGCAAATTCCCTTCTGTGCCTCTGTTGCCTGCCTCCGAGCCGCTGCACAGTCCCAGCAAGTTCCTAACTTCCTTTGCTCAGGGCATAGTTCTGCCTGGCCTCACACAAAGCACCTAAGAGCCCATGCCTTCTCATTATTTTTAGATCTCTCCTCAGAACGGAACACACCGAGGGGAGAGGGTGAAAGATAATGGCAGGAGGAAGGGAAGAAGCTGTACATGCTGAGTGAGGACTAACAGGGCTTCATTTATTGTTTCAGTGATTGCCTGAAACCAGAACTGATGAATTCGAAGTAGTAATATAAATGGATCTACTTAATCAATAAAGAAATTAAAAAAATAAACGGATATAATCACTCTTAAACATGTTTTGTGAGAGGTATATACAGAGGTGGGCAAAAGTAGGCTTACAGTTGTTTGGGAAATAGAGTAAATAATACAAGAATAAACGTTTGCACACTCACAACTGTAGACCTCATTTGCCTACTCCTGTATATATGTGTGTGAGGATGTATGTGTATGGAAGACAGACACCATTTCCTTTTAATTACTTTTAAATTCAACAGGCATGAATGGAAAGGAACAATTGTGAAAGAGAAAGAAGGCGGAGAAGAACAAAATAGGCTTTTGGTGGCAGGTTAATTTCAGGGCAGTTGGTTTAGCTCCCACGAAGCCAGCAGATCTGTACGCCTTCTCACTAAATTTCCACTCACCACGTGCCCTGTGCCATGCTCGTTATTTAAAGTTATATCGCAAAGCAGAAAATAGAAGCAATGGGAGAAAGTTTATCTTTAAAACTAGCTAAAGTCAGAAGGAAAATGCCTTAAAAAGATAGTGTGTCCAGCTGTGTCAAGAATTGGAGAACTTACAGAAGCAATGACACTGACTTTCTGCCGTGGGAAAACAGAAAACCTTACACTTGCTCTGGATGACTTACCTGAGGCATTTCCAAGCCCAGATCCTGTAAGTCCGATCCCAAACTTCTTTTTTTCCTTGTCTGTAAATTCCTTTCCAGCTTTACTTTTAATTTCAGGATCAAAGGTGATTTTCACAATAGGCGGCAGGTTTCCCTGGAGTGCCTTCAGTTCAACTGCCGAGATCCCTGCTTTTCTCTTCTGTGCGAATCTGTCAAACAGAACACACCGCAACTTCACTGAGCACCATTAAGAAACAAGTTGACCTTTCAAAACGACCTTAACAAAGAACACTTTAAAGAAGCAAGTCTTGTGGTTGCAATATCAAGAATTTGGTCCTTTACTTAGTACCAACTATTCTGAAATTCACCATTACTTCCTTTATTTATTCTACAGTAGAATTGGTCATTAACAACTAGGGACATTAAAAAAATTCATAGGCTGATTTTTCTTGTGATATAAAAGATGTACTATACTTAATGTTAAAGTAAAGCTCCCACTCACTTTCTGTTCTGCATGAGAAAAAACACTGCAACATTTAATTCCATCCATTGTATAATCATTACTGTTAATTTACATTTAAATCACTCATAAAGCTACAAGAAAAGCAGTGAATAGTGAACGATGCAATAGAACATACCTCTACATGAAATAAAATCATATTCATAGAGTGGTATGTGTGACATTGTTCTTTCAGCTGTAAGTGAAAGCTGCCTTGAAGTAAGAATTATTCATGCAAGTTTTTAAACGTGTAAGCTCTAAGGCAGCGGTCGTCAACCTTTCAGACCTTGCTGCACCACCAGTGGTCCATGGACCAATGGTTGGCGACCGCTACTCTAGGGAGAAGTAAGGATTCCTTTGCAGAGTGGTTTTCAGGGTTAAACAATGATTGCAAATCACTCAGCAAAGGGTTTCGACAGTGGCAGAGACTTAAATGTTAGCCCCCTTAAACCTCCTCTGTGAAGGCCTTCATCACTAGGAACTAAACAGCTATACCCATTTCATCATTTTTTTTTTTTAGATCAGTGGTCCCCAAAGTGTGATCTCAGGCACAGCACCATCAACGCCAACCTGGAAATTCTCAGAAGTGCAAAAGCTTGGGCCCAGCCCAGACTTACTAAAGCAGGTGCTCTGGAAGCGGGGCCCAGCCTGTTTTAACCAGCCTGCTCCTCCAGGTGACTCTGATCCTCCCAGAGGCTGAGAACCACTGCCTACAATGAACTCTCTGCTCTCATTCAGTCTAGATGCAGCATCATTTCTTAGACTGAGAGTCAACTTAACACATTGCGGACGGATCACAAGAATTCTTTAAAAAGATATTAGCTTGTAAGAACATGTAATAAATAACTTCAAAAAGCAATGGGTATTTAATTTTAAAGTGTCCCTTTAACATTTATGTAAAATGTTTTTTTTGTACTCGTTCAATACAAAGTTATCTGGCCAGTGGGTAAAGCTAGCAATAAAACTACTGGTCCGCAGTGTATTAAGCTGAGCTGCCCTCTATAGTTAATATACTCTCTAAGCTAAAAGGTTAGAGTGGTACATTATTTCAAAGGTATCTTGCTGAATAAATAAGAGATAGGCATCAATCACTGCTCCTCTTAATTGGGTTAATGACACTGACTGCCATTTGTATTTCCTGGCTCTTCATTGGCCTCTCCCCTCTGGTGGGCCGTCATTCTGAGCCATTTGTTCTAGCCTAAGAAACACCATCAAGTGCCCAGCCTGGACCTACAAAGTCAGTTAGTTATGCATCTTCATCCAGAGCTGCAGTCTAAGATTCTAAGTGGAATGACTGATCCCTGCTCCTGCCAAAGGCCAGTTCTGGCCCAGCTTCTCCTCTTGTGGCTTCATGGTTGGTCCTGTTGCTGAGAGTATTCTCAGTCCTAACTCTTCCCCCCAATTCTTGTGAGAAGGAGGTCATGTGCATAATCTAGAACTATTACTTAGACCCCCAAAAGGCATATGATTCAAGTGATGCATTCCACAAAGTGGACCAGTGTAATCCTGGTCTACAACCTGGATCTGAGAGAAAAGTCTGATACTCCGTGAAACCTGAAACTTAGCCTTCCTAGCAAGGGTCAAAGACTTAAAGAGATTGAGTTGTATTCAACATATATTTATTGGCATCTACTAAAGACAACATCTATCAAAAGCTTAGTTTATCAGGGAAACTCTGGATTAAAAAGGGGCTAAATGTAGTTGCAGCTTTCATTCGCAAACTATACAAATCTTTCTAAGCCTCATTTTTTTTTTCATCTCTCTGGCTACTGAATTTTCTATGCCATAATACTTTCATACAAATACTAAGTATTTATTTAAAATTGTACTTAAAACACTTGGCCTCAAAGAAAACTTCGGACAATGCAGTTAGCAAAAAGACCATCTATTTGGGAAATAGGGGACCTGGATCCCAGTTTTGATCCCATACTTAAAACTAAACAGACTTAGGAATTTAGAGCTTAAATTTTTTTGTCTTAGCTTGCAGACTGAGGAATTATAATTATTCTCCTTTAACATGTAATAGGGATGCTATGAGAATTAAATGAGATATTAAATTAGGATGCAGTAATAAAATAATTCTAGAAGGTGATTATTTCCAATAGGTATATTACGCTGATTCTTTCTTTTGTCCCACAGCTAATCCAGCTCAGAAACTCAACATCTGTGATAGCTCCTGCAAGCAAGGCTGAATGTGTTCAAGAGACCCATTCCCAGGGGCATCCACGATGGAAAGGGTTGAACTCATTCACCTGGGGTATATCAAGGTCCTTAGTGGCCTCTCTCCTAGTCTCAGCGGCAAACAGGATGAGAGGGAAAGGCCAACTCTACCCCAAGCATAGAACCTCTTTTCAGTGATAAACTCTTACAGTCTGTAAAACTAATGACCCAACTTCACAACAGAGCATCCTCACCCCCTAAGTTTTGCACCCATTTCCCAGGAATGCTTGGTACCTTCCAAATATGTACTGAGAAACATGAAGAACAAAATCTCCCACCCAAAAGTGAAAGGGGACAAAAACAACAACAAACAAACAAACAAACAAACAAAAAAAGGCTTCTACTGCAATCACCATTACACAGAAGAAAGCTTCTGTAGCAGTTACCATCACACTGCATTTTCCATAACGACCCAAAACTAACTCCATACCAGGGAGCCAGAGAGAAAGGGACATTAATGCTGAGATGGCAGTGACACCGAGGAGGAAGGTGTAGTAACTTGCTTTTCTGGATGCCTTACCACATCGTTGGGCTCAAGAAAATCTCTATTCTACTCAAGGCTTAATATTAAAGCCCATAAAAAATAGTAGTCTTAATGTGTGACCTAAGGAATAATTGTTCCAAGGATGGCAGATGTTTATTCACCAGAAGGTGGTATTGGAAAATACCATACTAAACAAAACTGTTATATTGCCTTTATGCAGTACTTCCTGGAAATTCTAGGGTGTTGCTAATGCTAGTTATAAATCATCAATAGGTAAACAGAACAGATGTCATGTCCCAAACTTATTTGATCATAAAATCCTCTACTCTATCCTCAAGCTGAACTCAAGACTAGTGTTTCTGAGAAAATTAACTAGGGGAAAGACTTAAAGAAGCCTGTGACCCATCAGAAATAATATTTACCAACAGATTTTCCATACGAGGACTCATTCAAAGCTATGCAACAGCAGCCTCCTCGGTGCAAGAATACTCTGGAGCACTGAAAGGGGAAATGATTGCTTTATGAGCAGCAATGGTATCACGTGAAGACACCCAGAATTTCCATCTTTTCCCTAATAGCCCTTTTCCTCCAGGTCCTACTCCAGGGGTTTTTGATTCTCCATCTGAAAATATGTTGAGGCTTACTATATCAGGCAAGGCAAAAGGTAAAGTAAGGTTTTAAGTAAATTCAAAGGACTTCTTAGGGAAAAAAAACAAAAACAAAAACAAAAAACAACTCTTCCCTGGGACTGCTCAAACCACTAAACCCATCTTTAAAAGCCAACCCCAAAAGCTGCCTGCTATGCCCCAGAAGTTCACACATATCCAAGAGCTCCTAAATCATTGCCCTTCTGAATCCGAGAGCTTCAGCTGATCCCTGAGCCACAGAGAGGAAAAAGGTAGGCACCAACCCCTTTGTAAACGAAAATGTCTTGTGAACAAGCAGATACTGTCTAAGATGGCCAACATCTCCCTGCGGCTCCTCTCTTGGAGGGCACTGGTGTAGGCCACTGTTCCCGTTAGTAACTGGAGGTAACTGGATCCTCACAATGGCAAAAGCACTCTGAGTCATCCAACATTCATCAGAGTAGACGGTCAAAATTTTTGCCACACCCATTAGAATGGCTATTATAAAAAAATAAGTTAACTTAAAAAAAGAAAAGAAAGAAAGAAAATAACAAGTGTTGGAGAGGACATGGGAAAATCAGGAACCATGTGTGAGCTGCTGGTGGGAATGTAAAATGGTGCGGCTGGGAAACAGTTCAGCAGCTCTGCGTGAACTAAGTCCACATCTGGATATACACCCAAAGGAAATGAAAGTAGGAATTCAAACAGATACAGATACACCCATGTCCATAAAAAGGGATGGAGTGCTGATACATAATGCAACATGGATGAACCTTGAAAATATTATGCTAAGTAAAATAAACCAGACACAAAACGACAAATATAATATGATTCCAATTATATGAGGTACCAGAATAGGCAAACTCAGAGAGATAGGAAATAGAATAGAGGTTACCAGAGGCTGTTTAGGATGATAATGTTCTAGAAATAGACAGTGGTGATAAGTTACACAAGATTGTCAATGTACTTAATTGTTCACTTAAAAAATGGTTTAAATGGCAGAATTTGTTTATATTACCAAAATGAACCATCGATCGATTGGCTGCTTCTTGTGTGCCCCCGAACGGGGATCAAGCCCAGAACCTGGGCATGTACTCTGACTAGGAAGCTAACCAGCAACTTTTCGGTGCACAGAATGATGCCCAACCGAGCCACACCAGCCAGGGATAACATTTTTTTGAGGTAAGAAATGCCGACACAT